CTCTCTCTCTCTCTCTCTCTCTCTCTCTCTCTCTCTCTCTCTCTCTCTCCCTGCAAGTTTTTATTTTGCCTGGGGCTCCTGGTCCCTTGTTTTCCTGTTGTCTTTGGAAAGCGGCTTGCCTGGTTAGCAAGGTAAAATGTTTACACATCTGTAGCATGCTCTTACTTCAGAACCTTCCCCCCGGCCTTGGGACCCTGGCTTAGGCTACCTCTGTTTGCCAGCTGCTGTAACAGAGCTAAGGTATAAGGAGTGGTTTAACCGTAGGAGGCAAAGAGGAAGGGCAAAGAGGGTTTTCAGTGGAACGAAGAGGAAACACGTTAAGGGAAGTGAGAACCTTGAAGTAGTGGCTTCAGAAGTTCAGAGGGAGATATTTACCTGGAGTCAAAGAGGTGAAAGGAAATCACTGAGCTTTAGTAGGGATGGGGGAGTACAGTGGTGATGGGGTTTATTTCTGTACGGAAATAACTTAATAGTGGTGCCAAATCCCAGCCCAAAAAGCAGGGATTTGGCACCAGTGGCTTGGCATGCTACGTAAATTTGCCCAGGACAAGTCACACCACCCTCTTTACTCCGCTGAGCCTCATTTCCCTTCTCTGTAAAAGGAGGGGTCTGCATGAAATGATCGCCTGCTAGGATTTAAGAGCTCTTTTGTTCACTGCTAGAATGGTCCCTTGTATGTAGACTCTGCTCAAAAATATGTGTTGATTTGAACTGGGTGTCTATGTCATTTCCAATTATTGCATGCTTAGATTGCCTCTCCTCTGTGTCTCTCCACACGGGACACAGAGCTGTATTCTCTGGAGGACACAAGACTATCCACAAGACTATCCATGCTGCTCTCCCCCATTGTTGTTAAGCAAGATAGAGACATCATTTTAAAAAATGGCACAAGTCAGTCTGAAGTCAGCACCATCTGTGTGTGACTACAGAATGATCCCAGGGGACATATCCTCATGAGACAAGGTGGAAGACCACATGCAATTTTGCATGAAATCTGCATATAATTAGCATACACCTGCCTTGGTGCTGTACCTATGCGGAACCAGACAATAAAATTATCAAGAGTCCTCTCACAGAGAAGGGAGGAATATACTTCACAATACACAGCGGTGTCAAGGTTCACATCAGAAAAGCTTACCCTAGGGTGTATGTTAAGGCACCAGGTCAGCTGGGTTTTACAATACACTGTACCTTCCTTCATCTAACACTGATGGACAAAGGGCTTCAATGTTCTCAGAAGCTTGACGTTTCATTGTTTTCATTGTCTCCATTTCTTCTCATTTTTTCCACGTTCAACTCCACCCCAGGGAGGAATAACATATATGAAAGCCCAAGGACAGAAAGTGTGCAGGGAGTCCCCCAAAACCTTGGCTAGGGCTATCCTGGGATTTAGGAGTACCTTCTAAGCATCAGGTCAAAGATAATACCCCAGGGAAGCATGGTCTGAGCACCCATGGCACCCCAAGTCTTCCTCCCATATATTCACTGTATCTTGTACTAAAACCCACCAATTATTCCATGTCTTTTTCCCCACATATGTGTTTCCTTAGTTCATTTATATATGCTCAACATTCAACAAAGAGCCCAGCATGTTGTGGATGCTTCATGGAGTTCTTCATTGAGAATGAAATAAAGGAAAAAGGGATAGGGCACTATCTTATTTCTGTCTTATTTTGATAGCGTGCTTTCCCTTAAAAAGTCCTAATTGTCACGTGTTCTGCATGAATTCTCTTGGTGAATCTTCTCAATGATGCTATCAGGATTGTCCATTCTCCAGAGTCAACCATGGCTCAGGAAGAGCAGATGTTCTCCAAG